AGTGTGGAGGACACAGAACCATGAAGTATTCAACAGAGCAGACAAGGCTGAACATTGTGCAGTGCTGAACCCTCCAAAAATTCCACTGCATCCACACATGCATTTTACCTTGCTGAAAATCCTGCTGAGAAACAGAAACTCCTGAGCTTTCATGCCTGCTCCATCTAATTCACTTGGCAACTGCTGCCAAGTGCCCAACTCCTCTTCATACAACTTGGATTTGCAGAGCACTCTCAGCTTCCACTGATTTGCTGAGGGCATCTGATCCATGTATAAAAAGGCAGTATCTTTCTACTTTGAAGGTATTCTAAAGATTGACTAGGAATCTGGAGTCTTTGAGGAAGCACACAGCTGTAACTAACATTTTACTTCCAGTCTTCTACACTCAGTAGTTAATAACTCTTCTCTCCTGACTCCTTCCCCACTGTTTCCCCTTTACTCTTTTTCAGACATACAACATTCCTAGATCTCAACGAACATAATTACCAAGACAGAGCCTTACACCCATGCTCAGAGCCAGTAAGAGAGTTTTAAAATCAACAGTATTTTGACATATAAACCAAGTTCTTCCATTGTAACTCAGGGAGGAAAGTAAGCACATTAGTACCATTTTTGTGTACGTTAATCTATTTCATAGCTTTAAGAAAGGCAAGCTCAGAGACCTCTACCAAGATTGCCTTGGACTATACAAACATGCACTTCCATCTATGAAGTCCTTAGCACCTTTCTAAACTAAAACAATGTTAAAATAATCCCAGTCCTAACCTATAAACAATGATTCAAGCCATAAAATCTCTACCCATTCACAGAATTCACTGTGAGCTAACAGCTATTTTCCATCTAATAAACATGGTTTGAAGATGGGTTGAAAATGGTGGAGCTTTTACCATAACCATCAGAAAGTTCAAAAGCTCATTTGTGTCCTTGTGTCTGGTGAGGTGCATTTGGTGCTCACAGGACTGACGCCAGCTCTGCCAAGCAGCAGGGCTGGCGTTACACACTCCTCATTACACAGCTCTGTCTGCCCTCTCCCTAAACACAACTGTCAGCCTTCAAGCCTTGAGCAATGCTTTCACACTGGGGTCCCCTCAAGGCATGTGAAGTTCCTCCAAATCCTAGAGAGACCATTAGACAAGGAAGGTGAGCAGCACACTGCAAAAGGCCACCAGAGAAAACCAAGGTGCATGCAGTGAGCCCAGAATACCAAAGTCACTTTCTTAAGTGGCTCCAAACACGATGCAGAAGCTGTTCTTTTGAAGTAGAATACAGAAAGTTCCTTCAGACCTGTCAGACACAAGCAGAGATTATGCTAAAGAAAGTTTGCAACATTAAGTTCTTTGCTACCTTTCAGATCTTTTAAGAAGTGCAAACAGCAGCCAGCAGCAATATTGAAAGTTCTTTACAATTTTTCCTGAAGGCTCTCCAATCACGCTTTAGTCGTCAGCAATTTTCCTGTCTTCTGTGCTTTAGCACGACAATGTGTCTAATAATCTTAATGGTACAATAAATGTAGGCTATGTTCTGCCCCTTCAGATTATACTCTTTTACAGTGAATTATACTGAACTCTAACATTTCCTATGATCTCAAAGCTCTTAAGGATAAAAGAGTGGTACACACCTTCTAACAAGTGACAATAGCCAACTTTTGCTCAGTTTGGGCTGATCTCTGAAGCTGGTTAGAAAGAATCCACTGGTAGTACAGGCACTGTTCTAAGAAATACATTACAGTTCACTGAACTCTGAAGGATATGATAAAGACCTGAGTGGACCCCCTGAAGTGCCATCCAGTTCCTTGACAGAAAGACCACAGAACTGGAAATGAACCATCAGTGAAAGTGGTGCAAGGCATAGAATTATGAAATGCCATCTGGTTGGTACAGGATAAGGAAATGTATCATTTTGGTGGCTTCCACCTCCACAGAAAAATAAAGAACTGTTTATGCAGCAAAATGGTTTGACTATTTGGGAAAGTCCTCAACTAGCCATGAAAATTAAAAAAACAAGAGAAAAAAGAGAAAAGATGAATTGGAATAAAAGAATAGAAGACAGTAAATTCGAATTAATAGAACTAATAATGCTGAAAACATAAGTAGTCACATGCCTTTAATGCCTAATTTGACAATATTAGAAACTTAAATAATAACAGAAAATTGTATTCTTAGAGGTGTATATTCAGCAAAGGTGACAGGACTGACAGGTAGTGGGGAGCTACACAAGTAGAACACTACACTCACTACTGCTGCCTATTTAGGAAATAGGAAGCAAACAAAAGGGAAAATGGGACTAAACTGAAAATTGCATCACTTGTTTACAAGTCCCTGACAACTCAGAAGCAAACCATCTTGGACATTTATGGATCAATGACCCTGCATCCAAAGCACAAGGAGAGGGAATATTGACCATTTACATACAGAAGAGAACAGCATGTCCATGCACTCAGATAAAAACATTCAGAACACTCCCTCATGCCATGACTCCACAACTGTTATCACACAGGATTTTAACTGATCATTCTGAACAATTTACAGCAAGCTCAGGATTTATAAAAATTAGAAAACATAAAAATTCTGAATTTGATACCGTGAAATCTTTACTAGACCTCAGCTTGATGGTAAAGAGAAACTGATCCCCAAAATAAAGGTTAGCCATAGCCTAGCTGCATGTGATTGTCCCTCAGTTGTATTTATTATTCACAAACAAAAAAAATCCACAGGTAATGTGTACTTGGTTCTTTAAAAATTCCAGCTTTATAAAGCTGCAAAAAATCCTGAACTCAGACTTAAGGAAAGAATCTGACTTCAAGGATGAACGACTGTTTTTCAAATAAGACTCTTCTAAAGTTACATACAAACAAACAGGTCACCAATCAAAACTAGATGAAAAAGTTAACCCAAAATTTAAACCTTTCTCTCAGACTACTTATAAACAAATTGTGAGAAACCCAGGGGAAAATCTCAGCCACAGCAATAAGCTTAACTGAAATGCTCCAGAGGGCCCAGTGAAGCAAGACACAAGAAACAGCCTTCTGGGTACATGAGGAACAAAAGGAATCCTAGCACTATTACAAAGTCCATTATTTGACAGAAATTCTTCAGTGTGGAGAATCTATAAAAGAGAGAACCGTTCAACACATAGCTCTAAGTGTCCAAAGGTAAGTATCGTGACAAACTTTGTGATAAATATTGTCTATTCCTGTAATAAACAACAGTTTTAAACAGCAGTTAAGGCTAGATATCAGGACACTGATCCAGCTAAAGCACTCACATCAAGAAAGGTGTTGCAAGAGACGAAATAATCCAGACCAGAGCCATAAGAAACATTAGGAAAGTAGAAAAGTAAGCCTCACAAAGGAAACCTCTACCTCAAAGTACTGTGTTTCCCCAAGCCAAGTTTGGGGACAATCATAGTAAATGTTATCCAAATATCAGAGCAGAGAGAGGGCTGTTCTGTCTAGCCAAGATACAAGAACCACTAGCCTACATTTAAAAGCAAATAATTTCAGTTATACAAAATGGCATCTACTTCTAATCCGCTCAGGGGAATTCATTTAACAGCACCAGCGGAATTGACTGCCTTGCTGGCAATGTTTAAAGAAAGTAACAAAAGGGTTTCTAAATTATGCATTTTGGCTCCAAGAGGTCTTAATTTAGGGCAGTTCTCTAGTCTACATCACACAGGTTGTTTTAAACAGGGTTTCTGTAAGTACTCACAAGCGTTCTTTTTTTTGGCATGAAATCCTTCTGAATCAAAACAAAAAACAAACCACTGGTGAAAACCAACAGCAAAGCTTTTAAAATTCCCCTCTCATTCCTATGTTTGAGGGAATATTTGTTTTCTTGTACCAAGTTTCATAACAAAATCCACTTTTTATTTACACAATGCTTATATGCACTTTGAAATGCTTAATATACTCTCTGTATATGTCTTATTTTAAGAGTAAGTGGCACCTATGCCAGCTTGCAGACCAAGACATCTCAGCCTTTGCTATTTTACATGACACTTTCTACACAGCAAACTTCCCCATCTTTCTATTTAACTATTTAACCTACCAAGCAGCTCAGAAATGAAGTGCAAGTACCTACCAGATAATAATCTCTACTGCAGATACTCAGACCCCTTTCAGAGATCCAGAACTGCCTCCATTACATGGTTTATTGAAGTTGGTGTTGGTTTCCAGTGCTGCACATCCTGGTATAGGGCAGAGCTGAGCATCAGAACGCACCCCAAAACCCAGGCACCCCCAGAGGAGTAAACCAGACATCGTCCCCAACTTTGCCTGCACATACACTGTACTGCTCCTTCATGCTCGCCCCCGCACCGCAACGCCACGGGATGCAAGATAACTCTGGAGCCAGAACTTCATGGCTCGCTGCCTGCCGTCAGTCTGTCAGTCCGTCCGTCCTCCGGAACGCCAGCGGTGACAGCGGGCAGGAACTCGCCGGCTCCTCCGGGCGCACCGGGATTGAACTTCTTGATTCTCCTTTCTGACTGACGAGTCAGACGGATTTTCCTCCGCCCTGAGGCGAGCAAAGCCCCGTGCAGGCTCCCGGTACGGGGTGGAGGAAGGAAGAAAGGGGAGAGGAGCTCGTCCTCGGCGGGGTTTGACCCCACTGCGGGTCGGGTCGGGTCGGGGGGCACGCACAGTCCGCCTGCACGGGATGCCAGGGCTCTGCCTCCCGCAGCCCGCCCGGAGCCCGCCGCCCTCGACGGGCGATGACCCCTGGCCGCGGGGGTAGCGCCTCCGCCAGACAATGGGGAGGCGGGAGGGCGCGGCCGCCCCACCGCGCCCACCCCGCGGGCTCCGTCCCCGCGGGGCCCGGCCCGCCCCCGCCAGCCAGGAGCCGCCCCCGCCCCGGGGCGGCAGCGCTGTCCCGTCCCTACCGGAGGAGCGCCCGGCCCGCTCCCGGGGGAGCGGGGGCGTGCGCAGGGCGCGCCTCCCCGGGCAGCGGGGTCACCCTCCCGCCTCCCGGCGCCGAGAGCCCCCCCGAGCGAGTCCCTACCTGCCGGCGCCGCTCCGCCTCGCCCCCTCAGCCCGCGCCGCCGCCCGCCCGCCGCCTGCGCTCACGGCCGCGCCGCCATCTTGCGCTTCACAAACTACTGCACTTCTTTCGGGGCGGGGGGGCGGCGGATGGGCCGGGAGCTCCCAACGCCGCGGCCGCCCGCGCCCTCGCCTCGCCCCGCGGCGCCCACTCGCATCCTCCCGGCGCGACGCTGCCCCGGGGCGGGAGCGCGGCGAGCGCGGACGGCGCGGCCGCTGCCTCAGCCGCCCTGGCAGCGAGCGGGGGCGGAGCCGCTCCCGCCGCCCCGCCCGTCGGGCGGCGGACACCGGGCGCGGGGGCTGCCCCGGCACCGCAGCGCCGCAGCCCGGGGACACCGGCGGCTCCTGGGCGGCCCGGGCAGGAGCGGGGGTGGCGGGGTGGGAGCTCCGGGCAGCAGCCGCGCCCCCGCTGGCAAACTTCGGCTCCGCGCTCGGCCCTCCCGCCGCGGCCGGGACAGGCTGAGGGACAGCGTCGCCCCCCGCCCGGGAAGGGCTTTGCTGCCACTCCCGCCCGGAGCTGCCGCCGAGGGAGGGCACGGCCGCAGGTGAAGACAGAAGGAGCGGCTCTAACGAAAAAGACACTTCCCACACCTTGGGGTGTTGGGGTTTTTTTGTTAGTTAAAGAACTTGGAGAAAGGAGACCTCTCTCCCTTTACTACGTACAAAATCTTTTAATCAATATTTGGGTTTAACTCTCACTGCCCAGTTCTCAAAAATGTTGTTTCCCTACACTATTTTTCTCATCACTGTGGTTTTTTTTGAGTCAGACGCTAAAACGTGACACTTTACACAAGAAAGAAAAAAGAAATATATGGGGAACGCTTAACTGTTCACAGGTGGACACAAAAGATGGAAGATTTACACAATTGGGAAGCTTTTTAAAAATCTGCCTAGTACAGGACCCTGTCGCGCCTAGTGACAGGAAGACATGCTCAAAACAGAAGTTTTGATCCCAGGAATGTTTCTGGTTCCTCAATTCCACACTGTCAGTTTTCAAAACAGTACTCTTAGGAGATACACTCAACAGGCTGCCTGCCCCGAGTCACATTGAAATTGGCAATGGCAGCCAAGAAGGAGATCAAGTTAAGGACATTAGTTCATTTATTACATTGCCAATGTCATAAACTGCATTAAAATGTAAATTTTCTTTTTTTTTTCTTCTCCTGATCTTGTCTTTGCTGTATAATCCATACACTGAGGGGAGAGGAAGCTGATCACATGCAGTTCTTATTTTAAAACAATAATATTTGTTCTTGTGTCTTAAATGCAAGATTATCAATGATCAAAATTGTTCTGTGATTAAAACAGAGCAGACAACCCACCACTAAAAAGAGATGAATTTTTTATTAATACCCACCAAACAATACAGAGAAAAAAATCTACATAGCACATCAATGTTTGAACAAACACAGTAGAAGGACACAAAAAGAGACCACTTCTGACAGAGGTAAGAAACCAAACACAAAGAAGGATTGCACAGCTTGGCATTCAGTATTGCCACACATTGTGTACATGAGGTGACAGAAGAAAAGAGTGAACGGTCATGCCACATATTTTATCATGATTTATATAAAATTTTATTTTCATATAGTTAAACTTTGTCTTAATTTTTAAATAACTATCAAATTAACAGATAAATTTTCTCTGCTGGTTTGAAGAGAAATACTTCTTCAAAACAGGGTACTGCTTTGCTTTACTTCAATATATTTATCACCAACAATATATTCACTTTTATGTAATAAACAGATATGATTCTTCCCAGGTGACTAGAAAACTATTTACAACTGAATTCAACTACAAGCCATCTGATGAACTAACAATTTGTGTTAAAATTATTTTCTCCAGTATTAAGATTGTCATTATTACAAGCATGATTAAACTTTACCTTAGAAAGTTACAGTAGTAAATCTTGCTTTGTTTCAAGTTAGGTTTCCTTTTAAAGAGAGGTACTGAAATTATCTATTCAGATCTGCTGAGTTCAAAAGGCAATCACAGCAGTATGTCACATTAAAATATACATATCTGGAAGGGAAATATCAAAGTCATTAAATGACTTTATTTGAACTTTCTTAATAAATTTTAAGATATATCTGTATAAATATATATGTAGACCTAGTATTTATTGAACAATGCAAAGAAAAAACAGCATGCAATAAAAAGAAAACATTAGAGTGTGTCAAGTATGCTGAAATCAAGTATCAGGGATAACTGAAGGCTGTAATTTCTTTCTTCATTGCCTAAGAAGAAAAAAAGACAAATGAGGAGTCAGGAGACAAACTTAAGAACCCTTGTTTGCTAATTCATCAAAAGAAGCAAGAATGTGTGCACACAATTGTTAGCAATGACTTAGCCGATGCATGTGCTACCACCATCACTGTTCTGTACTCACTGGCTCCAGCACATCCTTATGCACCCAAAATAGAGAGTAGGCTAGGAAAACTGCAGGGATCTGTATCAGGGGACTATGGATCAATGGTGCTTTCAGCAATTAGAGAGGAGACAGTTCCCAAAGAGCCACAGCTAAAAGCTGAACTGTTCTTTTCTGCACTCTGAATAAATAATTGGTAAAGTCTCTGTTTTCATACAGTAGAACTTACTCCTGGACCAACTTGTGCAATCTCTCCGAATAGGAAATATTCTTTGGTCAAAGGTCAAAGAAGCAGAAAACAAAGAAATCAAGTTCTGTCACAAAAGCTCACAAGCACCAGGATAACAATCATGCTAAATCATGTAATTTATGATGGATAGGAGAAGGGTGCATTTTTCAGGAATGGCATCCCTGCATCCAAGTAACCCTCACTGTTGCACAATCAGAGCAAGAGCATCTAACTATCAGATGTGGAAGGAGAGATCAAGATGACCAGGATCCAAGAGAAGAGGCTTCCTGGCTTTTTTAAGGAAAACTGAGACGCATAAAAAAATTTTAGCTATTCTTATGCATGACCACCTGGAAGACAAATGGATTCAAGGACTTTGAAGATGAATATCCAACCTATCTAAATCAACTCAACATTGGGAATGTCAGACTGGGACCATGGGTTACTGTGGAGTATTTCTGCCAAGTTCTGACAACGTGCAAATCCTCTCCTTAGAGGAAGACATTACAGAATTTGACTTGTTAGCATTAAACCTTCATAGGCAGGAAGCTCCCATATATGAAATGAAAGATGCTTGAGCCATTCTAGCTAAAAAGGAAGTCTCTTCTTGTTATGCCTCATACTTAGTTTCTTTTCAGGAATGGAATAACTGCTATACAAGTGTTACCATGTGTGAGTGCCCACAAGAGGAGAACGAGGAAGTGACAGACTGAGAAAAGCCCCCTCCTTTCACAGCCCCCCCAGGACTGAAAAGGTACTGGAGCAGGAGTGGTGACAGACTGAGCTGAACTGCCTTGAGAGGGCTCTGGGGGGACCCATCATCTTCAAACCTTTTCCTGCTCAAACTGCCAGCAGCTAAGCCAACTGCAACAATAGTTTTGCAATATGGAGAAATGTCTTCCAGACTCTAATGAACAAATCTTGTAACACAGGCAACTAAGCAGCAATGAGTAATACTAAATAACCATGACATTCAGGGCACACGTACACATGCATAACACACACACCTGTAATAATGACAGAAAGTGCTACAAGACAAAAAAAATACCTTCACTAATTCGTTTTTGTTACCATCTTCCCGGTGCTGGTAAATGCACTGGCTAAGGACAGCATACAGTTTCTCCATGCGAAATATACTGACGTTCTCAGTTACCACGGCAATAGAATGCAGCACTTGCTGAAGAAAAAAATGGAAAGCAGAGTTCAGAATAGCACAAGATAAGCTGCAAACAGAAAAGGTAGGACAGGTGTATGGCCAACTTCCCATGTGAAACTTTTTAAATGCTGCCAAAGAAGTGACTGCGTGCTCTTGTACATGTTCATTGAGTTCTAGGCCTAATATCAAGCAAATAAATGAAAAAACTCAAAACCCCAAACGAAAAAAAACAGCCCAAACAAAAACAAGCAGCTACAGTTTGGAAGGTCACCCAGCTTATTGTCTGCAAGTGAATTCCAAAGAGGCTCTCTAACACAAGCAGCAAGTTCCAGTGCCACCCCTGTTAAGGAGTCAAGTTTTCTAAAAGATGCATTTGATGACTGTAGCTCTGTCCTCACAGCTGAGACCTCTGTAAGGGCTCTGTGGTACCATCTCTGCAGTGGGCAGTACCTTCAGAGCACACACTGCTGGCACCCTGACTCCAGAGAAACCCATGTGCATTGCCTACACAGACATGAGCAACACCTTCCTCACAAGGGAGGGGAGGGGCAGGCACTGATCCATCTCTGCTCTTTGGTGACCACTGACAGGACCCGAGGGAACAGCATGGAGCTGGGTCAGGGGCAATTTAGGCTGGATATAAGGAAGAAGTTCTTCACCCAGAGGGTGGACAGGCTCCTCAGGAAAGTGGCTACAGCACCAAGCTTAACAGATCTCAAGAAACATTTAGACAATGTTCTCAAGCTCATGGCAGGATTGTTGGGGGTGCACTGTGCAGGGCCAGGAGTTGGACTCTATCCTTCTAGGTCCCTTCCAACTCAGGATATCCTATCATTCTATGAACACAAACCCATAAAATTTGCTTGCTTAGGAAGCCTGTCTTGAAAAGTTAATTTCTCTCTTCTCATTTCATTTCTTATCATGGCAGGTAAACAGCAGCCCCCTCTGGTTTGATCCATCTCCAGGACCTCAACCTGGCAACTTCCTGAATTCTCCTCACTGCAACATCTCCAGAAAAAGGCCAGGTCCATCTATGCTCTCCAATTCATGCAAAGGAACTTCTTTGATCCCCTGCAGCTAGGCACAATTTTGACCCTTTCACAAACTATATTGTAGGGTAACAACTTCTCTAGGGGACTGGAAAAACCTTGTAACACTGTACCCATATGAATGTAAAATTCTATCACTCGATTTTGAAAGTGTTTGAGAAGATATTAGTATTTTATTCAGAATGACCTTTAAGTCAACCTGCTAACTTCAAAGTCTTAAAGTCATCTCTGCTAAAAATCAATGTACTCTTTCAGTTCCTACTAAATGAAAACATGCAAAC